CGATATAAGGAGTATTGCAGAGCCACCCCCAGTCTATCTTTTCCAAATGGTCCCACCATATCGAATTAGTAGATTAATGGCACAGACCCCATAAATTTAATATTTCATGCCGTGTGCCTTTTTGGTGTGACCTCGGTTAATCCATGGTCGAATCACTGGCACGTTGCAACCTGCACAGAACACTTTATCTTCGACTGGCAAGTTTATCTTTGCCTGGCAAACAGAATGTTTGTTGGCGCTGTGCCTCTTGATGTCCTTTAGTATAACCATAGACAAAGTATTTGATTGTGCAAAATTATTAACAGAGGTTATTAACAGATAAAACAGTAGCAATATGCAAAAATATTAATAGAAGAAAATGTTAAATACCTCTTCATCTCCTTTAACACAGCCGTAGAAAAATTGTTAAATTGTCCAGAATTATTAAGAGGCTGAGTAAAACCCCAAACCGCTACGCCCTATTTTTTAGGTCACGCTGCCCAGTCTCTCTGTAGTTGACTAATGCAGGGAAGAGAATGTTACCACCAGTTAGTACCCTAGCGGTTTCCTGTACAAGATCATGTTTTTTGTCCTCCTGGAATGCGTATTTTGCCTTGTTGGTGTGTGGCGTAGTTGCAGCCTGCTGGAAAGCACACTGAGGTAGTTGAATGACTTGAGGTTGACTTCAGCGAGAGCTGGAGCCAGGCCTTTTTGCTTCATTTCGGACTCTCTGTCCGTTTTCCTTCTCCAGTTGAACACTTTTTACAGTGGCTGAAGCACCCCGATTGTTTGTTTCTGCTGCTTCACACCGCGACTAACACTGAATGCTGCTATCTCCTTGTTTCCCAGTTTCTTTTCCAAGATACCGTTCTGCCGAAAAGTTCTGAAACGTGTCTGCCGTGGATATGCTCCCCTTAGAGCTTTTGAGTGTTTCCTGCTTCCCCACGAGAGCATGTGTGCCTGCCTAGCTGGTTTGAGAGAATAATCGTAGCCGAACCGACCGTACGAAAGTGGTGGAGTGTTGGTTTTTCGCCTACCCTGGTTTTGTGTGCTCCAAGAGCTCTTGTCTGTCCTAGCAAGGCGCGTCGCTACGCTAGGTTTGCATGGCTCTCCAAAGGAGTCCGCAGAACGAGAAGTGCATTTGAGTGCCGACATGCTTGCGTTCGCGGCCGCCCAAAACCGTGACTCTTCTGCAAAGCTCTCTGAGTAGCAATAATTCTTCGCAGATCGCACAAGTATCTTCTTTCACCCCCCAGTGTTGACACATCCACCTTTATTTTATTTGTTCATCTGTTATTATCTTTCCAGTGAGCGTAGGCATCGAATAAAACCTAATTAATTCCATGCGAATAAAATCAGCAAGGGGAGTTACTTGGGCTCGGATCTGAAGTACAAGTATTTAATGAAAAGGCACCACAATTTGTTGTTGTTTTTAGGGGGATAAATTCAGTGCATAAATATCATCTGTATTTTGTTCAAGTGGAGCCTTTAGAAAAGCCGTGTCTCTCTGCTCTGCTCTATGTAGGAAGCCTGGAAACAGCCTGAAAGATTTAGGGGCTTTTTATACGTGCCCTCAGCCAGAAGGCTGCCGTAGCCAATGAGAGTTGATATGGCAAATAACCTGTCAGAGGGCTTGTATGCAGTGTTTCATTGCCCTGAATTAAAGAGAGGTAAATGGCCTCTCTAATTTAGAAGTAAGTGTTGGTAAATTAGAGGAGAATGGTTGATGCTTGATCTAACTGCTAACCATGCGTTACAACTGATTCCTAGACAAGAATTGCTGTTGTTATTAGCTTTTCCTTTTTTGAAAAAAAATGATCTTGATTTTCCCTTTCAAAGAGAGAAGGCAGGGGTTTCCCCAAACCGAACTTGTGTTGGTTTGGTTATTTTACTGGACTGCCGCCTTGCTAAATTGCAGGGAGGCTCCGTATCGATCCAGTTTGTCAGGATCCTGTGCCTGTGTCACACGTGATTTCTAGCTAAAACTTAAAAATTTGCAGAAAATTAAACTTATGAAAGGGGTTTCTTAGTACCGAGAAAGATGGTCTCATTACTCTCATCCTCCTTGATGTGCGATTTTTGCTGCTTTCACCCATAACCCGCTTGGATTCTGAATCGACACATAATTGAAACTTCACTTCTTGGCCTGCCAAGATAAACTGAAGGCAGTGCTGAGGCAGGATACTTCCCCTAGGTATGGTTATTATAGGAAGAACATTTAAAACGTGTTCTGAAATAAACTTTTGCTGATGGAAAGTCCGTGCAATTTCAACTCATCAATCGATCAGTTCGCTTTTTTTGGCCACCTTTGCTTTAAATGGCTCACAAGAATTTTTCCTCCTTATGAGGTGTCCAAAAGTTCACTCCTATTTATATTGTTTTTCTCTCTCCTCAGTTTAACCTTATTTTTCCTAACCAGTTAGGCCCTACTAAGGTTTTTTTTAACCTGTTGTGCCATTTTTTACCCCTTCTGAAAATTGTAGCTATTATATCTACATGGAATTTCTGTGAGTTATAGTAGTTTATTTTACCTTTTCTTTAATTTTTAATATTATAATAAATCATTGTAAAAGCACATAAGGAACATTTATTAGCCTGTATTTTTAGGATGCCTCCTTTCTTATCCTCTTCTAGTGATAACCTCTAAGAGCTTTCCGATTCCATTTAATCCCTTTTATTACCATTTTTTTCCTTTCTTTTTTTTCTTTTTCTTTCTGAACTCTTTAGAGCCATTTGTGATTCTCTATAACAAGCCCTCCTCTCTTCAGTTTTGTACGAAGATGGTCGATAATGCTTGTAGTAGACTCTGAGTAGCCTGCTTAGCCAAAAAGTCACTTTTTGCACCATTAGCATGAGTGGAGGGTGCCCAGTGCCCTTTGCAGAAGGAGGTTATTAATGATATTTTAAGTCAGTCTTGCCGATTAACAACATCTGGCAAAAGAAACAGCAGAGAGAGGAAAAATAACATGTGTGTGAGTGAGCAACAAAATAATTAATTTGCATTTCACATTTCAGTTGTATTAGTCATACCTTTTTTTCGCTTTCCTAAATGCACGTTTCAGAAAGCGTGTTTTATGTCACATGTCAGTTTTCTATGAATTATTTGTCTGTTGAAACACAGAGTCCTTCAAAAGGGCGAAACTTGCCAAGTCCTGGAATGTCACCATCCTAATGTCCTATTGTCTAAGAAATAGGCAGAAAAAGAGGCCGCTCTGATTCAGAATTTTTGTAATGGCAATTCAGAAAATTTGTTACGAATTATTTGCTTGACTCCATTGCTTGTCCAAACTACGTGAAATGTACTGATTAAAAAAAAAAAGAACTGAGAAGAAATTGGATTAAATAAATACTCTATTCCTCCTGGTTCTCCTGAATTGGCAGTAACATTTCTATGGCCCTCTGTGCTACGTTTGCCCACATTTGCTGTCCAGCAGTTGCAGGGTCCTTGCAGCCTTGTAGCTGGTTTCGAATCGGTGCAGAAATCACAGAAGGTCCCGTTTCACCTGGGGCTCTGTTTCAGTGACACGACACAGATCTGGGCTTTGCTGTAGATGGTCATGAGCGCTCCTGTTTGCTAGATTGTGCCTTGATATTTAGTAAATACGTTCAGTTTTCTTGATGATAGAAACAGCTGTTTTTAGGGCAGAAGACAAGAAGGTCCTACTGGTTTGTAATCTTTGTGCCCACTTGCCCGTGATACTTAGATTTGCCTGGTTTTGCACTCATCAGAGCACTGGTTGGTTTCAGGGGTGGGTGACAGATAGACCTTGCGATGGAAACTCCGACAGGCCTGGTTTGGATCCCAGCAGCCTTGATATTTAGTAAATACGTTCAGTTTTCTTGATGATAGAAACAGCTGTTTTTAGGGCAGAAGACAAGAAGGTCCTACTGGTTTGTAATCTTTGTGCCCACTTGCCCGTGATACTTAGATTTGCCTGGTTTTGCACTCATTAGAGCACTGGTTGGTTTCAGGGGTGACAGATAGACCTTGCGATGGAAACGCCGACAGGCCTGGTTTGTATCCCAGCACTCTGCCTGTCTTTTAGTTACTTTGAGAATTTCTGAATGGAGAGGGAGCGCTGTATTAAAAGCGGAAGAACCCATTATCATGGTCAGGAGGGAGATTATTTGATTTGCCTTTTGTGTGTACATATCCTTCTGGCAGTTATCGCTGGTTTTGGCATTGCTGACGCACACGGGGAGGTAAGCTAAGGAGCACCTACGACAAGCAGATGAGCTGACACCGTATTTCAGGAACGGACTGCAAAAGCAGGCGATCCTGTTGTTGGAGTCTATACAATCTTGAGTCAATAACAAAAATAATTCAGTCCTGAAGGCTGCATTCGGAACAGATTTTGCCACGCAAAATGCGAACGCTCAGTTAATTCAGTAAGCGCACTCGTTGCCTTCTAGCACTTGTAGGGGTAGCGTTTCTGTTACTCGTGGTATTAGCATCAAAATGTGCAAGTTTTCTCCAAGCCCTCAGTGTTTTTGACAACCTCTGATGCACCCGTTATAGTGGAGAGTTGGAGTGGTTCTCTGAAACCAGAGAATTCAGAACCGCTTTGGTAACGCTACTTCATACAGTTAAAGGACAATTGCAGTGCAAGCCATGGAGCAGTTTTGCAACACGTGAGCATTTAATCTCTCTTCGGCTCTTTTTTCCTCTGTGCTTTGAAATGTATAAAGTATGTATTTTATGAAGGAAACACCCATTTTTTCTCAATTAATCCCCAGAGAAATCAAAGCTGTAAAACGTTTTCATTTTCTTTTTTTCCCCCCTTGTTAAAACCACAGAAACACCAACCTCTAAGGAATGAGATAATGGTTGTACTGCCCAGACTTTTACCCTAAACAAAACCTAGAGGTATATGAATGGCAGTAGAATAGGAGACTGCATGTGTGAGAAAGACCGGCATCCGTGGTGCATGGTGTGCTTCTGACTGGCGCTTGCGGCTCCTCCTCTCCATCGTCCATTCTCCTGACTTGCACGGTGTGTCGAGTGTTGTGGTTTTGACAGCATGCGGAATTACTCGTTGCTGGGCGGACGGCGAACGGATGCGACGTTTGTTGCGCAGAACGGTCGATGGGACGATGGAAAAAAAATCCCTGTATTTCTTGCTCACGTTATAAGGGCTTTTCTCTGTTGCAGGTCCTTCTGTAGCATTTCTGCGACTCCCCATGTGATGATTCTATTTTAGTGGCTAGAAGTAGGCCTGATACTGTTCTGTCTCATCTATTATTTGCACTTCCAGCAACCCGACATTCCCATCCCACAGCAGGCATGATCCTAAGTCATAAACCAGTAAAAAAACCACAGTAGTAGTTCTACACCTTTCACAAGAATGTCCCCAATCTTTTTAACCATAGGGAACTATAAGTTGAGCATTGAAGCAATTCCATGAAACGTTTTTCTCCCTTTTAAAGAAAAATAAATAAAAAAGATAATTTACCTTGTGCCAGAAGAGGGTTCCCTGTTGTAGGTGGCTTTCTGCATCTCTGAGTTTTCCACCAGGACTTCGTATTGCGGTACAAAGTAACAGAGAAACAAAAATCCATAATTGAACCTCTTAGGTGGTGACCGTAGCCTATCGTCATCTCACCAAAATCCAAAATTTGCCTTCGAACATGTCAGGCTTTTTAGATAAATAAATATTAGCTCCACTGATGTATTAGCAGTCGTATCCACGCACTCTGCAATGAGATTTGGTTTTTTCTTAAAAATTTAAACCCAGTATTTAAAGAAATGATGATTTACCAAATAACCAGACAGATAACCTAAAAAAACCTCACAACAACACAACTAGAATTGACTTTATATTCTTGAGCCGTAAATAATTTTCTTCAATAAGACGTATTTACTTGTCAAGTATTTAAAGAGCACCAACTTTACAATCCAGGTGTTTGCAGGTTCAGAGCAGTGATGTTTGCCCTTGGCTTTGTCTCTCCTAGGTCCGTACCATGTGCTCACACTGATTAGCGCCCGCTGGTATTTTTACCAACAGAAAAATAAGACTTTCTGAGAAGACCTCTTAGATAACAGCCATCAGTTCAATTAATAAACGATCCCAGCATGATTTGGTGCTTCACATGGGAGAAAGCTTTTTGTATTCGTACGTCGCGAGAAAGACCTTTATTGCCATATATAGTTCATTACGTGTGTGGAACGTAACTGGCGGGCGCTCGCTAGGTTTTGTGCCTCATTTTCTGCTTCCCGATTTTCCAGCTTCCTGGTGAGTTTCATGGTGGACGCTCGCGGGGGCGCCATGAGAGGCTGCCGGCACAACGGTCTGCGCATCATCATTCCGCCGCGGAAATGCACCGCTCCGACGCGAGTGACGTGCCGGTTGGTGAAACGCCACCGGGCCTCCCATGGTGGAAGGCGAAGGTCTGGCCAGCCGCCTCATCGAAGTGGGACCTTCTGGGGCTCAGTTTCTTGGGTAAGGGGTGCCATAAGGCCTGGAGGAAAACGTTCGGTCTGGTTTTGTCCGTTGACGAGTCGCGCTGAAACCGTTCCTTTGTCAAGACTCGGACGGGGAAAAAAGATCTTTGTAACGTGCTCGCAGACAGGTCGCGTGAAATCCAAAGCCGTTGGTAGTTACCAGTTCGCAAAGCTTTGACGCCTTTTCCTTTGAAAACAGGTATTTTAACCGCTAGCACTAAGGCTAATGTGCTTCCTTAGCTGTAATTCTTACTCAGTGCTGTGATATTATGGTGGGAAAAGACCCCTGTGCAGCCGGACGGGGCGGTTCGTACTATATTTCGACGAGCTGCTTAGAAAGCGTGAATAGCACAGCACTGACCTCAAGCCCAAATGTAAAGCCTGCTCCGTGTCCAACACAAGTTCCAGCTGCTTTATTTCAGAGCCTTGTGTTGTGTCATCCGTAATTTGGACTACCGGGGAAGCACAGCGCCTTTGATTTTTCTGGGGTTGAAATTGCTAAATCAAGCAATAGGACAACCCTAGAATCTTTCGGCCGTTTCTTTTGTCCTATGCTGCAAAACCCGTAGAAAGATCAGATTCATGTCTGCTGCTGAGCTTGTCGTAGTAGTTGTCAGCTGAAAGCAGCAGTTATCCACACATTTTTTTTATTATTTGTTTTACCAACTGTTCTCCCTGTTGACTGTGGCATCCAAAAGTGGATGGTGGAAGGAACCCCAGCTATGACAATGCATAGCTTCGTTCAAAAACTGCGAAAAAAGGGACTGTGTAAAAAGCAATAGTTGAAATCCATTCTGAAACGAATGGAGTGCTTTCAAATCCTGTTATATCAGGCAGTCATCAGAGCCACTATCTTTGTTAGTGCTTTTTCTAAAAGATTGAGCTTAGGGAGAGAATAAAGGTGCTTGGTCGTTTTTAACTGCCCACTGCTTTTCATACAGAGCATGAGAGGAGAACGTACATGTTTTGGCTGCTTTGCCGTTGCTCTGATCTGGTTAAAAAGGAAGAGCAGTTGGAAAACACCATGAATGCGATGCTAAGAGCAAGCCAGCCATTCCTTTTGACAGGCAGGATCCCCCTTAATATCACAAGCAGCAGCAAACAAGCTGGCTAGTGAGATGCTTTGCACCCCTGAGTCTTTTCGCCGCTTAGTCGCTTTTAAAGAGAAGCGGAAAGCAATCTAAAGAGCGGGAGAAATATCATGCTGTCACATTCGGTCATCCTGTTCTCTTTCTCACACACAAATTGACCTCAACTGCGTCTCCTGGTTTGTTTCTCGTGGTTTCTCTATCTAATGAGAATGTCTCACCTGAAAGACCAGGATCTGTAACACAGTTGGATTCCTTCTCGGACCTTTGTGCCCTTGTCGCGCGAGTTCTTCTGCGTGTCGTGCCGGCAGCGGTAGCAGAAAATGACCGTACTGTTTGCAGAGGTGAATTCTAAGGTCCAAATCCCGTTCCCACTGAGCTCGCTCCCAAAACTGCCCTGAGATCCTAAGTTAACGAGACGAATTTTGCTCATTTGGATCACCAAATTGTCATTGCTAGGACCGAACTTTATTCAGTGTACAGCCTAACTCCACTCTGTGGACCACACAGTGATAGTGGCACTGGCGTTCTGGCACAAAAAATACATAAAGTTTATTTATGTTCTTTCTTTCACTGCTGCTTTGGATGTACTCAGTAAACTTCATCTGCCTACGGCTCCTCCCCCACTTAATGAGGGAGAAAGCTTGGTCAGCCGAATCCTTCAGCTGGGGCCTCCTGGGACCAAATTCCTTGGGTAGGAGAGACTTGAAACAAATTGATGGATGCTGACCTCCCCATTCTTCTCCTCCTGCGATATGATTTTTTTATGTCATTATGCCCATGATATTGTCCCTTTCTATCATTTGGAACTTTGTATACCTAACCCCTAGTGGACCATTTTTCAACCTTTGTGGTATGTGGTTTTGTTTTGGTGGTATGTTTGTATCTTTTTCTTCAAGTACCGTGGCCTTCATTTTTATTTTGGCATGAAATCTTCCTAGTTATGTGCTTGATGTCTGTAGCAAAGCAACCTGGACTGGGACCAGAAAAAAATAATAAAAAAAAGAATCTACTGTAAATTTTAAGATGTTTTTTGTATCGAGGACTGATGAATCAGTAAGTTATATGTTGGATACCACCAGTAGACGAGAACGCATGACACTATTAGTATGTACACGGTAACTTGTGTGAGTCCTCTGATTAGAAAAGCGTATAGATAACTGTATTTTCTCCCTTATTTCTAAGGCTATGTATGTACATGTATATATACCTATAGATATATGTGCACATGTGTTGTGTGTGTGTGTGTATATATATATATGGACACATACACTGATACATCTATTGACATCTGCTTGTGAGGCAACAAGGCAAATTCTTATCTCCTGTACCGAAATAGAAACCCAGACGATTTCCTGAGAGCTCCTTTATCTCTCCCACAGTGTAAATCGGGAATAAATTCATTGGAACCTGCAGAGTGGCCAGGAAGTCGAATTGGCGCGAGTCGCAATCGCCTACCGATTGCAATGAAATTATTCTGATTTGCACTAGTATAAGCGAGATGAGAATTTATTGCGCTCTTCACAGGCGTTACAGTAGATTCTCTTTGAAATAAAGTTGCACAGGTTAACCCAGACCGTAGCGACAACTAGAATGAGCATGAGTTTCTTACGAATTTGCAAACCACTGCCCAAATTTCTAGCGGAGCACCGTTACCTTGCCAAATACCATTCGCACTATGGAAAGAGGTGAATGCACTTTTTAATCTGTCCTTCAGCATTTACTGGGTCCCTATAAAAATCGAATGCGTGTCGGTCACCTCCTAGTTTAGGGTTCCAGCGAAACAGGTAGAATTCCAGGTCACTTTGTAGCAGACTGAATAGAGTCGCTGTTAATCCTGTTTCTTCCTCTCTCCCGTGTGCCCTTAACGCGCTGTGTTGCTGTGCCAGGCCTGTGATTGTGGAGATTCCCCACTTTGCTGCTCTGCGTGGGAAAGAGCGAGAGCTGGTGATCCTGCGCAGTGAGAACGGGGACAGCTGGAAGGAGCATTTCTGTGAATACACTGAGGATGAACTGAATGAAATCTTGAATGGGATGGATGAAGGTAGCCCCTGTGTTTTTGATTTTTTAATTTACTTTGCTCCTGCATTGCTTCTCTTAACCAGAGCAACGTTTTTTGTGTCATTTATTCTGTTTAGCACTTCGTGTTTTGTCCGCCCTAGACTTTCTGATGCTGGAGAAGCTCCCGTCACGAGGTTAATAGACGCTAGACTTTTGTTTTCTACCGCTCCTTTTCACAGTGTTAAAAGAAAAGCTTCCATAGCAAACATCCTTCCAAAACAAGGCAATTATCACACTAATCCTCTCCAGGCTGCCACACGTGTGGGAGGAAACGTCAGTCACGGGTGTTCTTGTTTTCGGAGAGAACAGAATGGCCTTGGGCTGTCTACGATCTGCAGAATTTATTCTTGATTTTGATGGGTTTTTAAAAAAAAAAAGCAAAAAAACCCCAAACCATGCAAAAGTAAACAAGCCAAATGAATGTATTTAGGGCTGAACTCGTATTTGGATACTTTTTTGAGTTGGAATTTAGTTTCCTTGGCACTGTTCTGGGCCATGGGGTAAACACGTGAAGTAAAAAGGGGCTCAGACCGGTCTCTTTGCTTGTTTGCCTGCTGGTTTGGGGGAGGTCGTCACCACATTCTGAGATTGCTGTCTTAAGCTCCCGTCAATGAGTTGTTCTGTCTGTTCCTATCTGGATTCCTCTGGTTTAGCTGAACTTAAAATACTGGACTGTGTTTCCTTTTCCCCTTTGATTTCTAGACCTAAGACTTTTATAAGTTGCAGCTCGACTGTGAAAAGCTCGAGCGCGCTTTGAAGTTCTGTGCGTCACTGTTACGAAACTCGCGTCTTCTGACCGTCTTCTCTTTTGGCCTCAGTACTTGACACACCGGAGGAGCTGGAGAAGAAACGCATCTGCCGCATCATCACCCGAGATTTCCCGCAGTATTTTGCCGTGGTGTCCCGCATCAAACAGGACAGCAACCTCATCGGGCCCGAGGGAGGGGTGCTGAGCAGCACTGTTGTTCCACAAGTGCAGGCGGTCTTCCCCGAAGGGGCTCTGACCAAACGGATTCGCGTTGGCCTCCAGGTACAGCGAAACCGTTACGAGGCTTATCTTTTTCTTAGTGTTAAATGACCTTCTTTGAATGGAGACCCAGCATGCTCAGCTTATCACGTTGTATGCTGTTGTCTAGAATGCTTTGAGTAAAAATAGTTAAAACATAAAAGGAAAATCCACATAGAAGTCAAAGCAAGTGGTGAATCTTTGCGTCTTGCAGTTAGTTAACAGACGTGATCTGAATTGTCTGTATATTTTTTGGAAAAACTTCATTTTGGTGCTGGTGGTGATGATGATGATGCTAGTGCAGACCATAGAACCGTTTCTTAAATACTTCTTACGAAAGGCGTCAGAGGAGGATAGAACACTGTAATAACTAGGTGAAACAGATTCTCAGCGTGAAGTAAACCAACCTAGCAGCTCGCTATTGAAAGAGGGAGAAGTCTTTCCCCTCCTGCTGCTGCTACCTTGGCCAGGAGACTGTGACTACTGAAATCCCTGCTGAATAGCTCAATAGCTTACTCACAGAGCCCAAAGCTTGTTCTAAGGAAAAGAAGAAAAGAAAAGAAAAAGTGACCTGGAAATCATTTGCTACTGGTTAAGTGTATTAAATGAATGCACTAAAAGGTCTGACAACCACCCAGAAAGGGGCTAGGAAGAGGAGGAAGGTGTGGGAAAGGGTGAAAAGGAAGGTCAGCCTTTCTCACAGACAGTCAGTTCTTCTGCCTGCAGATTTTCATGGGTAGTCGTGACATTTCACTTAAAAACTTAAGGCTTTCATGGCAATATACGCACCCAGTTCTTTACACCTCATTAAGCTGTTTTCAAGTAACTGTTCTCTTTCTCTGTCTTTTGCTTTGGAAAGGCTCAACCTATGCACACTGAACTTACCAAGAAGATTTTAGGCAACAAGGCTACCTTCAGTCCTATCGTCACGCTGGAACCCAGGAGAAGGAAGTTCCATAAACCCATCACGATGACGATTCCTGTCCCCAAGGCCTCCAGCGACGGGATCATGAACGGTTACGGAGGCGACACCCCCACTTTAAGGCTACTATGCAGCATAACAGGTAGGATGCAAATCCCAGAGATTTTTATGGGCCGCTTGAAATCATTAGTCGCTGTGGGCTGGTTCCCTTCAACCTGATACAACTGTGGAAAGCTTGGTGAAAACCCGACTGGGACGAGAGGCTGTGGAAATAAGCCACTTTCCAAACAATTATTTTACAGCAGAAATAACAGTTGTTGTTTGGACTAGCGAGAGATGTGTAATATAATCACAGACTTGGGGTTTGGGTTTCTTGGCTTCTTCCTTACAGCTTCTTTCTCGAGAACTAGCGTACTTCTTTAAGTGTAGTACAGACATAATGTTGCAGGATGCTTCAGAGGAAAATAAGCGAAGTAAACACTTCACACTTGCTAGAACTCCCAAAGGATTAGTGTCTCGTTCGGTCTCAGTTAAGAGGCAGAAATGAGTCGCACGCATTTATTCTGTGGAGAAGTTAACATCTTTCTGAATTTTCAAAGTGATTTGAATGCCAGCCCAGCATAAGATGCGTTACACACTGAGATGCGTCAGTGAATCATTTGGGAGAACAGGCACTTCTACAGTTTCTTGATACAAAGGTGTTTGGTAGCTGCTGAAATACCACGAACAACATCTGGTCAACAAAGCAGCCTTTGCATTTCCAAGAGAGTGAGACAAGATTTATTTAAGTAGAGCAAAATGGTTTCCCCTCATCAGACCCAGGCTATTTCACGGGTTTTCACAGCAGCATGAAAAGAAATGTCTTGGCTATGCACAGAGCAGATGCAAGTCTTTGAATTACTTGGAAAGGAAGGAGCTTGCAGAAATCAGAAATGGTAGTTGTCACTGTCAGTAATGTTGTTATCGATTCCCAAGTGTGTAACAAGGTAGGATTATCCACACTTTCGCCAATTTTTCCCCATGTGTGTGAATAGTCTAGAACGAACAAAAGCAGTTTCTAATAAATTACATCTCTTCTCGCAAAATCGTAGCCTCTTTTTAACATTTCTGGAACTGCAATACAAGACTCCCCATTTGAAAATCTCTTGGGCACTTTGTTTTCTCCGGGGAAACCCGTACTGTCCTACTAGCGTTAGGGGAATAACCTGCACCTAAGGAGAAGGCACGTCTGGTGTTATTACCGGTTTCGTAGGGGTTTAAAACTCAGAAGAATGCAAAATATTTCTCCAAAGCCAGGAACTTGCGGGCTTCCTTCATTTTGATTTTAATTTCTTTTTTGTGTCTTGATCATTTCAGGAGGAACCACCCCTGCCCAATGGGAAGACATCACCGGAACGACGCCGCTGACGTTTGTTAACGAGTGTGTTTCCTTCACGACGAATGTGTCTGCCAGGTACCTCTGGGTTTTTTTCCGTAGTCCTTTGCAGTCAGCATCTCCTGTGATCCCAGGAATGAATTGATGACGTTCTCGTTTTTGTGAAATAATACCCTGAGGGGCAGTTCACTTGTCAGGTAGTTAGGAAAAATCTGCTTTCATTCTGAATGCTCTGTCTCTCCCAGATGCAAAAATACGCAAATTTCCAGGGAAACAGAAGCCCCTTATTTGGGTAGCAAAGGTGCTACTTCCAGAATATCCAACCAATGAGAAATCAAGCAGAAAGGCCTGTAGGTGTTTCAGACTGTGATCTGGAAGAATCTCTTCCAACCATCTGCTCTTGTGATGCGATTCAGCTGCTGTATTTTGGAAAACAAAATGTCATATTAAAAAAAAAAAGAAAAGGTACTGCTGTATTTTGCTTTGTGCACTGTCTGTGAGTTTTGTCACAGAAATGTCGAATACTTTCCTGGCTGAAGGATCGCTCTACCTTGCATTTCTTGACTTTGTGCCCTGGTCTAAAAGTGCATCTGCCCTCGTGCCCTGCTGAGTATCACCTGATTCCTGACTGTCGGCAACTTCAGAGTGACTTGTTTCTGTCTAGTTAAATCATTGCCGACGGAGAACAGTTTTCTTGTTTGTTAAGACAGCTTCTGTCCCAAACAAGCTTGGGAAAGAGACACATTTGTCCAAAATATGCGCAAATCAAACGGCAGACTCGGAGGCATAGCTGTTTTCCATTTCCTGAGCTGCAGCTTTTTGAAAAATTAATATCTGTTTGGGCTTCTGAGCCCTCGGTGTATGACAGCAAATCATTTGAGCATATGGTGATTTGTCAGAGGATATAGCCAGCCCCTCCCGTTCGAGTCCAGCATGGCATAATTCTCCCACACATGAAAAGGAAGAGTATCCGTATGCGGAACCTTGACGTACCAAACATGCTTTCTCTTCTTCAAATGTCACCAGCCTGTTTTTCAACCGGTGTGTTTGTTAAGTGTTCTGAAGAAAAGCACAGCGTGAAATTTGCTATTATTTGCCTGCAGATGAGTAAGGCCAGAGAAGTCACACTCAGAAGGTATGCTCTGTGGGTTATAATACCACATCATCTTCAGGTGGCAATAAGGCCCCTGTAGATGACATCAGCTGTTTGAGGTGTCTTTGACCTCTCACGACTTCCGTCTCCATCCTGCGGACGTCAAACTTGAGGATGCTTTCCACCCACACAGCAAATTTTATTTTAAAGAAGTGTCATCAGCTCCACAGAGTGGCTAAACAAAGTGAAACCTACGATGGAAGGCGACGCATGTTACTCCTTGTAAAACGTGTGATCCGTTTTGGCCGATACATTTGAGGAGTAGAAATAAAATATTTTTGAGTGAAAGTTGTTACCATTGCAAAACAACAATTCACTTGCCTTGACAAAGGCGTGAAGAAATGCTGCCACCTTTTATTAGTGGGCAACGTTGTCCTGGCTCCAATAACCCAAATAAAGGCTAAAGAACCCCTAGTTTTTGGTAAAAAGGAGCGTCGCTTGTGACAGGAGAGGCCCTATTCCAGAAGCTGGAAGTTCTCACTTGTCATATGCAGCTGGTGTGGTTACCAGCTAATGCTGCCAAGATGAGCAAACAGGTCATTTTCTTGCTTAAATCTTTCTGTGCTGATTCTGGAACTCTTCCTCTTCTTTTACAGATTCTGGTTGATAGACTGTCGACAGACGCAAGAGTCCGTTACTTTTGCTTCCCAAGTGTACAGAGAGATTATCTGCGTCCCCTACATGGCCAAATTTGTGGTGTTTGCCAAATCACACGATCCCATTGAAGCGCGGCTGAGGTGCTTTTGCATGACGGATGACAAGGTGGATAAAACACTAGAACAACAAGAAAATTTTGCTGAAGTTGCCAGAAGCCGGGATGTAGAGGTAACGTACGAGAATCTGAAATATTTTTTTCTATTTCCTACTGTCTGTTTTGAAGCTACTGTTTTCCACTTTTTACCTACCACGACTACCGAAAAATAATAGCGCCAAGAAAAGCTTGTGATGCGGTATCGTGCATCACGATAAGGCTCGCGTTTTATCATTTATAGCGTCATGCTACTGTTGTTGAATTAACAACGCGTTCCATCTGGGATTTAATAATCTGGAATGTTACTGCAGGTTTTAGCTAACTGTGTATGTAACAAATCCTGTAAGTGATGACAAGTCTCAGTAATTGAAAAGATCGACCCAAACGACTCTAGAATTCTGCTTGAGAAGAAATAAATCTCACGGTGATGAGCTCCCACTTTGCCTCTTTCTTGTTTTCAATAGGTCTTAGAAGGAAAACCCATCTACGTCGACTGCTTTGGCAATTTGGTGCCGCTAACAAAGAGCGGGCAACATCATATATTCAGTTTTTTTGCCTTCAAAGAAAATAGACTTCCTCTCTTTGTTAAGGTAACGTTATAATAGGAGCTAGGGATTGTATTTTTGGTTTGTGACCAGATGTGAACCCTTCTGCATGGTACGGTTTTACCACTAGGACCTCTTTCAGCTCGCTAGTTTCAAGTGTAGGTTGTAAAGCACAGTAACCGATTAAATGGCTGGACGTTTGCTCTTCCAGGTGCGAGATACCACTCAAGAACCCTGTGGACGATTATCATTCATGAAGGAGCCAAAATCTACAAGAGGCCTCGTTCATCAAGCCATATGTAACTTAAACATCACTTTGCCCCTTTACACAAAGGTACCGTGAAATTATACTCATCCGTAGTCGTCAGCTTTATCATATAAACCAGAAACAAGCAGGACGGCACGATGTTGGTAAAGCTTTGGTGTCGGCCTTCAGTTTCTTGGGTTTGGTGGTCTTAAAGTCAGCGTTGAAGCAAGTCCTCAACTATTTACTGAGGACTCGGAAGAGATGGCAGAAAGGAGATGAAAATGTGATTTGCACTAGGTAGCTCCCATGGTGGTTTCATCTGGTGCTGCGTGAAACCTTTGCTGACCTTGTTTCCTAGAGAAATAGTACACAGGTTTTGTTCAGGGCTGACACAGATCTGGGACTCAGGGGAGTACCTCTGGGTTAACTTTTTGTTTTTCCAAAGACTTCCCACACTAACTGTGTCTCATGGCGTGTCTCTGGCCATAATGTTACCATTCGTTCCTGTTTCACAGAGTGTGGGGATAATATCTGTAGATCAGAGGATCTTCTTAAGGTATGAAGTAGGGAAGGACTGAAAGTTATTTGCCCTTTTTTTCATTTTCCAATTTGAAAGTCAACAGGCTTTGCAGTAGCGTTCTCAGCTCTTTAACTGCCTAGCTTATCTGTGGCGGTAGCGATAAAAGCATAGCAGGCTTGAGCTCCAGAACTGGGAACATTCGTAGCTGTGCCAAAAATATTTTCCTAGACTAGATTTTAATTAGACTTTGACTTCTGACACTGAAGTTTTTTCTTCTACACCCGATGCAATCTTTCCAGATTCTGTGAGTAGGGCCTGTTGTGTTTATGCTCTTTCTTCTGAATATTGTTATAACTGTGACTAATGTTCACGGGGAAGAGAACAGCCCGGTATCCAGGGCAGAAAAAGGAGAGGAGAGCTCTGGTATGAATTTGTGCTTATAAATAAGGAGGAAGGGAGATCAGTCAAATTCTAAGTTAGGGGAACTCCCTTGATTTCTCTGTGTGATCAGCCATTAAGAAGCACTTGTGTCCTTCGAAAGAGTCACTTTTATTGCTGGTCTGTGAGAACTTGGATTTTTTTACCGTCCTTGTCAGAGGAAGGGCTGCACACCTTTTCAGAGTGTGTCAGGTTGTTTGCCCAAGATCTTGTCTTGGTGGTGTTTTCCCTCAGGATTTTTAGCTTGTTATATCATCTTTGTTGGAGCATTTTTGTGGAATTTCAAACATCTCAAGATGTGTTGGTTTTAACCGTAACGGGGTACCATGCTGAACTCTATGAAGTATTTCTTTGTGCTAGTTTGCGAGTGCAAAAGTGTGACTATATTTTAAGTTTTGGTACTGGTAAGGAAGCCAGAAGCCCATTTTCTGTTTGTCATATGTTTGACCCTGTTGCCTTTTGTGTTTGAAACTCACAGTTAAGCTTTGCTGCATTTTGACCTAAGGAGTCAGTTTCAGAACTGTATTTTCTTCGTCTCTGTTCAATATTGTTCTCAGAAGTTATTTTGTCCTGCTCTCTTCTTCTAAACAATTTGCATTTTGCCTGCTTTGTTTTCCCCTTCTCTTTTTGCATGGCGCTTTGGAACTGAAAGGAGTCAGACTCAGATCAAGAGCAAGAAGAAGAGGTAATAATGTCTCTCTAACAGCATGTTACTGCTTATGCATAGAACTGAAAGGCAACTCACAGATCTAGCAGGGAATCGGGCGTATCAATCCTTAGCTCAGAGCTACAAAAAACAATATATAAGCCATACCAGTGGCTTTCTTGAAACTTTATACTCTGCAGCTCAAAAAAGGTTAAATGAGATTGGTTTTTCCGATTCTGAGGACCTCTCCACATCCTAAAAAGAACATAGGGTTGCTGCTAGGCTGGTCTAAACTATCCAGAACCAGTGGCTCATGGAAACAGCGTGTCTTTCCAGAAGTGTTTACTGCTCGTATTTCAGTGCCAAAATATGTCCAGGGAAAACACAGCCAAAGTTTTGGCGCTAATTCCTGCTAGTTTCATTCAGAAGGGAACATTTCTCATCAGGTACTCGTGCGCTTTCATACCAAAAGCACGGAACTAATTCTCTTAGCTTCTGTAATGCTGTTGGTGCATTCCCAGCGAACTCCCCACAAATTGCTTGTAACTAGTCTGTGCTCTGTAAAAGCAGCGTGAAGGATATTGGAAAATTATTTTTTCAATCATTGATAACTTGTTATATTTTTTTTATTTGAGAACATAAAGGACAAAACAGCAAGGTCGTTGCTGGCTAAAAGCACCTTCCGTTTTCAATTACTTTTTTTCCTTGAAATGTTCATTAGTGTGCTGACTTAATTCCAGACTAATTTGGAGGAAATTAAAGGGAGGAGAATGAAAGGATCCTGGGGATCCTAGGTTACCGGGCGGGAGATCTTGATGTTGTTCTGGATCTATAACACTCACTGGTCGGTGTGTTTAATCATGTGAGCCTAAACGATTGCAAGGCCTGTGTGATTTCCTGTGTTCAGTTTAGGGAAAAGCAAGAATTAGTAACATCTTAACTGGAGATTGCATTGATCTTCATAAAGAATCCTTTTTGATGCTTGCTAAAAACCAATGCGGCAGCGTATCCCGAGTATCACAAAAGTACAGGTCCTCTCTACTGCTGGTGGCATTTCAAGAAATTAGCTTGTGATATGTTGCATCTAGTATTGACCATAACTGCAGCAAAGGAACCGTTTTTCTGTTCTTAGAAACGCCAGATCAATTCAGCCAGGCTTTTAGCCTTATTTTAAATATGGTTTTGGTTACATTTAAGTCCACGAATCTGCGTATCACTTACACCTCTAGTGGATTTGACTCACCCTCTACTACTTCATGACTGACTTTATATGTAAGGATTACATATATTTCAACCTTTTAAAATTTCCCCTTTTTTTCTCTTTCAGGTTGATATGACTTCTGAAAAAAGTAAGATTTTTTTCTTTTTTTTTTTAATGGAAAAGATTATGATGCAGTTAGTATGAGAGATGGTTAAGAATAAAGATAAGCATGAAAGAGAGCTAAGCTTTAACTGCTATAGCTAATAATATCAATACCTTAAAACTGTGCTAGACAAAAATTTAATACCAAAGCAGCTATCCAATTAAATACATGATTAATACCTAAATTAACACGTAATCCCATTTAAACCAGTTCATCTAAGCGTTTACTTTCCTTTGACATCCCTAGCGATCCCGCTATTGCTATTTTGCTCGTCCGAATGCTCATCCCTGCATTTTTTTGTTTTGTCCATTTGTTGACACGCATCGTTGCCTCATATTTGAGAGAAAAGACAGTATCGCTTTTAACGGGAACGTCATGAATGCTCCTCTATATTTCATCCAGCTCATGAAATACAACCCTGTGAAAAAGCGATACCGTCCCAAATAATCAGGTTGTGGAAGCCTTCTCCCTCCCTCCCTCCTCCCTGCCCTTTACTGTGGTGAAATATGCCTGGAAAGGTGACTGTTCAGCTTGGCACCGCATATATACCCTCTGTGTATGTAATATCTCAGGCCATTTCTCTTAGACACGGAGGGTGAGTGGCTGTAAAGGCCAGAGATCTCCTTTAAGATGCAAATCAACGAACAGCTCTTCAGAGAGATCGAGAAGATCTCTCCTAAGAACAGTTTCCAAATGCCGTGACTCCTTCCGTCTGTTTAGGAAAAGAGCGAATCGTGGCTCATTTCCAGTTGTGAGTGCAGCGCCTGGCTTTTCCTCTGCGTTGCATTTTGAGCATCACTTATCCTTGATATACTTGCTGGAATCGCAAAGATGACAGCGCCCAGGTCCTAAAGATCAGAGGGACGGTTGTTTCCGTAGAACCTCCTTTGTGTAAAGGCAGAGACACTTAGGAGTAAATGCAAGCGTAAATTAGCATCAAAGGCCAGTCTTACGTGAGGTCCCACCTTTAAAAAAGTGCAATTCTGATTTGGAAGCGTTGTGTTCTGTTGGCCACACCTTTTGGAGTAGTCCTTCCTGAGGACGTTCCAGCCTCAGGGGAATTAGCTCCATCCACCTTCCTGGATATGCGTTGCACCGCTCAGACCAATATTTCACCACAGTATGTTTTACTATATTTTCACGTCTTTTAATTTAGATGATTAATTTTTTTGAGCCGTTGTTTTTCTAACGGAACCTCCGTCCCCAGCAGCATCTGCAACACCTTTGCTTTGCATGGAAATAACTTGCCTTACATGAATTGTACGTATGTGTCTAGCGTGACTGTCTCTGAGTTTTGGTTACCATCCGTGCCATTTTTTAAAACTGCAATCACTTCTGAGTTGATTCACAGTTTTTTTTCTTACTACTTCTCCTTTTCTTCTCTGTCTGCTCTTTCCTCGGTCAGTTCCTTAGTTGTCTGTGAGGATGTTCCAAGGAAAGGACCATGCCTCTTTCTTAAAATAGAAAAAGAATGTTTGTTTCATTGTTTAGGTGTGAAATCCCCTTAGACGAAATGCCGGTTTGCAGCTGATTCAGATCTCTACCTATTTGATCCTCTTTTAGATTACTGCAGAATTACTTTTAACTTTTTCTTACGGTCCTCAAGAAAAAAAACACCAAAACAATAAAAATGTTAACTCCGTGTTATTCTGACAGTTTGCTAACCCTGGCTTTCTCTTAGAGGAAATCGACTTTCAATCAGTTCTAATGCTTTCCCCCTTTTTCTTGTTTCTTTTTATTTGAACATTGGTCTGTAACATCCGAACAATCTTGAGATGCCTATCTTTGTGTAACTTCGCTGTGTTTCTTCTGTTTTTAAGTTGAAATTTTGTCGGTGGTGGTGGTGGTGTTGTTTTGGTGGTTTTTATTTTTAGCAGTGTCCCGATTTGATTTGTTACGGCTTTGGTAATGTATGTGTGGTTGTGCTGTATCGATCAAGTGAAGCAAGTTATTTCCTGCCATTTTCCTTTTCAGTTGGGTTTTTTTTGTGGTCGTTGGTTTTTTGTTTTCTTTCCCCCCTCCCCCCCGTTAGCTTTGCTTTGCTCTTGTACCCTCAGATCTTGTGGATCCACCATTCCCGGCCCATTTTGTTGACCTTCCTACCACTGCAACCCACGACTTGTCATTTTCGGTCCTGATGACATTTTCCAATCTCTATTTTTTGATTTCCATTTTACTTTCGATGTTTTTTCATTCGCATCAAAGATGACGAGACAGAATCTACTGAAACATCTCTCCTGAAAAGCCATCTGGTTAATGAAGTCCCTGTCCTAGCCAGTCCAGACCTGTTGTCTGAAGTTTCGGAGATGAAACAAGATCTGATCAAAATGACTGCCCTCTTGACAAGTGACCCCTCTGACAAATCGGGCTCCCTTAAAATGAAAGACCTGGGAAAAGCCACTGAAGACGAGCCAGGAGAGCCTTTTGATATCGTGGAAAGAATGAAGGAAGACTTAGAAAAAGTAAATGAAATTCTGCGAGGGGGCTCCTATAGTGGCGACGAGCGTCTTTTGTCCGAGGCCCTTTCCGAACGAGAGCTCGCGGCTGAAGAAGAATGGGTCGTCGTCAGCGACGAAGAAATCGAAGAGGCCAGGAGAAACGCTCCTGGAGAAGTCTCTGAACCTCCCTGCGTAGAAGTCAGGGTAGACAAAGGGGCAGCAAAAACGGAGCGGGCAGACATGACAGGGATGGTCGATTACCTTACAGAGGACTTAAAAACATACGTTTCTCTTCACGAGGTACAGCCACCAGCCTCTCAGGAAGACTTGGTAGGAGAGAGGTTTGAAGCTGTGGTAGTCAGCCGGGATTCTGAGAAAGGAGGGCAGGAACCTCCGGTGTCTGAGACGCGAAGTCCGCAAGAGCCGCGCAAGCCAACCCTGGAAATGAAGAAGCCAACTAGGACGAAAGTAAAAGACAAGCCAAAGCAAAAGGAAGGCAAGACGCGCGGCAGCGAAGAGCAGGCAGGCTCGAGGAAACTCGCTTCGGACGAGTCACGAGGCGAGGAATCGGGCTTAACGCCGGCTGCTCACGAGGCTAAAGCGGTGTCCCCCGTGATTGAGGAAACTCCCATCGGTTCCATAAAAGAGAAGGTGAAAGCTCTTCAGAAACGAGTGGAAGACGAACAAAAGGTACGCTCCAAACTACCCGTCCGCATTCAAACGAGAGAAGGCCCTGCTGAGAAGGCTCCTAAAAGACCGGCACAAATCAAAAAGCCGGTGGCGCACAAAGCACCGGCGCCTGTCTCGCCTTCTTCTTCGAAGACGGAGAGACTCGAAGAGACCATGTCCGTTCGTGAGCTGATGAAAGCCTTCCAGTCGGGTCAAGACCCGTCCAAGAATATCTCCGGGCTCTTTGAGCACAAATCAGTCAAACAGAAGCAACAGCCGCCCGAGAAGGAAACGAGCCGGCGAAAACCTGTTTCCTCCTCGCAAAGCGAAACGAAGCGAGCATCAAGCTACAAGACGGACAAACCCAAGGACAAGCCGAGCACGACCTTAAAAGCAGAGAAGGAACCACAATCCAAGAAAGGCAAGGCACATGTTTCCGCCCTCGAAACCACCAAGAAAACTGTAGGTAAAGATCAGGTCAAAGAGCAGAGCAGCAAAAAACCAACAGAACCTCTCCCTCCAGTACTGGATGATGCCAGTGCCAAAGAGACAGCGGCCATCAAGGGCAAGGCTTGCGATGACCAGGGAGAGCCCGACTTTCAGATCAGCCCCGACCGAAAAACCTCCACAGACTTTTCTGAGGTCATCAAAGAAGAGCTGGAGGATAACGACAAATATCGCCAGTTCCGCCACCTTTCGGTGACAGAGGAGGGAGAGCTGAACCCAGAGCAAGTCCTGACCAGTCCTTTCGGCGTGACTTTTCCCACCGAGGAGGGGAAAGAGGGATTCCTCCCGGCTCTTTCTTTGCAAAGCGGCGCTCTTGACGGGAGCTCCGAGAGCCTTAAACACGAAGGTGTGGCTGATTCTCCAGGGAGCCTACTCGACGGCACGCCTCAGATCAGCTCAGAGGAAAGTTATAAGCACGAGGGTCTGGCAGAGACTCCAGAAACAAGCCCCGAGAGCCTTTCGTTCTCACCGAAGAAAGCCGATGGGCAAAGCGAAGAAGCCCGGGGAGCGGCTGGAGCACGTGCCACTGCCGCAACGCATTCTCCGAAGGAAGATGAAAAAGGTATTAGTGAAAGGCAGCTCGATGCTGTCACGGAGACTAGTCAGTCTCATTGTGACCGTGTAGCGGAAGAGCTTGTACCTACAGCCTCTGGCGAAGAGGCTGATAAACTTAAAGCGAGTAGCTCAGCTTCCGCTGTGACAGATGGTAGCGGGGCCAAAGAATCCAGGACCCCTGCACACTTATCTCAGGCTGCTGAAACCCATGACCCTGCTTTAGAGAAAGACAAAGATCTAAGCTGTGAACGCCGCGTGGCAGTTAGAAGCCCCCAGAAATTGGAACTTTCGCTAACGAGCCACGATAGCGAAAGCTTTAGCCCAGTCGCAGATGACTCTTTGGCCGTAAGTCACAAAGACTCGCTGGAAGGAAGCCCGGTGCTAGAAGATAATTCGTCGCACAAAACGCCCGATTCTTTGGAGCCCAGCCCCATGAAAGAATCTCCCTGCCGGGATTCTCTCGAAAGCAGCCCCGTAGAGCCGACGGTGAAGGCTGCTCTTCTGGGGCAGGGTCCTCTTCCACCCGCCCTTAGCAAAGGTGAGACCTGCCCAGAGCTGGCCTCGGTGCGTTCCCGGATTCTCCGCGACCCCGAGGCGAGTGCCGATGACGACAGTCTGGAGCAGACATCCCTCGTGGAGAGTTCGGGGAAAAGTCCCCTTTCGCCCGAGACTCCTAGTTCAGAAGAAATTAGCTACGAGATCACCCCCAAAACCGCCTCGCAGGCCCCGTCCAGTGTGCCGAAGCCGGCCGCAATCCCCGAAGTCGTTGAAGAACCCGAGGACGATTCTGAAAGCGAACCCAAGAAAAGATTCACTCCAGAGGAGGAGATGTTTAAAATGGTGACCAAAATCAAAATGTTCGATGAATTAGAGCAAGAAGCCAAACAGAAGAGAGATTACAGGAAGGACTGCAAGCAGGACGAAGCTTCCACAGGCACCGACATGGAAGCTGCTCCCGAGGCCGAAGAAGCCAAGCTGACAGCTGTAGAAGAGAACGCTGTCTCCACTGTGGTGACATCTGCCTCTGAAGGGAGACAAAGTTCTTCCTCTTCAGAGAGTGAGCCGGAACTGAGCCGGCTCAAAAAAGAAGCAACCTCGAGCCTCTTGACGGAGCCTGTGATCCAAGTGCAGCCTCCGTCCCCATTACCGTCCGGTCCAGATTCCGGTTTGAGCCCCGACAAAGTGAGTTCACGAGACCTCGATTCCAACGAGCGCTCTGTCGGGATAGGCGCAGTTGCGGTGGAGCAGGGTGACCCCAGAGAATATGACCAAGAGGAACCACTTCTCCTTGGGGGTGGCCATAAGTCTTCCGCGAGGGACTTGAACGCTTGTCGTTCCGACGGTTGCGACGTATCCCAGTGCGACGGCGCAGGTTGCGGTGAGACGATCCCGGCAGCCGGGACTCCTCTGTGTCATTCTGATGGTGACTGTTCTCCGAGAGACGCTCACGTGGAGTCTTTGCTACAGCAGGACAATCCTACAGGAAAAAGCGTCCGAAGCGCCATGTTGTCGTCACCAGGTGCAGATCTTGGTTTTACACAAGCTGTGTGTGGGGAAGAGGAGGACAGTTCCCGTGGACACAGGACGCCTGAGCGCTCTGCACCACGAGACAGCGAACCGGCAGAAGGCAGCGCCGCTGACCGTTCTGCTTTGGGAGAAGCAAATTCAGGTTTGGAAATATCTCGGAGGGATAGTCACACTGAGGAACCCTACCTGGAGTCATCCCTTACTAGTGAACCAACACAAGATGATAGTTGTGTAGCAGCCACTGCAGAGAGCAGCACTCCTTATATAGTAAGCCCTTACGAAAACGTGTCTTCAGCGTATTTCTTTCCTGACGCCAAAGGTCAGGTGGGATCTGGTACGAGTCCTCTTTCTCGGGACAGCTCGGCTGTTGAAGGAGGAAAAGATCAGAGCGGCGAAGCTTTACTTAGCGATGACACGGGTGGCGAGTATCACTCTTCCGAGGAAGTGTGTCTGGAAACAGAGGCAGAAGTGAAGTACGCGTTTCAGAAAACGCCACAAGGGTCTTCAGCGCCAGATTCGGCGCCATTAGACGAATGTGCCCTTGAGGACGCGAGCGATGAAACCGAGCAATCCCTCGGTCGAGTCGTCATCACCAAAACTGATGCAGATTCCGACGCGTGGAGCGAAATCCGCGAAGACGACGAAGCTTTCGAAGCCCGGGTGAAGGAAGAGGAACAGAAGATATTTGGCTTGATGGTTGACCGGCGGTCACAAGGCACCACACCCGATACGACCCCGGCCCGAACGCCCACTGAAGAAGGGACACCTCTTAGTGAACAAAATCCTTTTCTTTTTCAGGAGGGCAAGCTCTTTGAAATGACAAGAAGCGGCGCCATTGACATGACCAAAAGGAACTATCCGGAGGAAAGCTTCCATTTCTTCCAAATGGGGCAGCAGCCACCGGAAGAAGTTTGTTTCTCTGAAGAAGCCAAAGAAGCAGCAGAGGTGGAATGTTGTCAGCCGAAGAGCTCACCGGATCCCTTTTTGCCTTCTGAGTTGGAGGACTCAGAGATACATCAACAAGAGACAGAGAAATATTCCTTGCCGACGTCTGAGCCCAGCGATCCATCGGAAGAAATGATGGGTGAAGGCGTTGGCACGGCAAAAGCCGATCTCAAATCCAGAATTCCGATTAAAATGGGTATTTCAGCTTCTTCCAAATCGCCAAAGAAAGAATCTGCTGCCTCTGAAGCTGAGCCCCTCTCCGCCACGGAAACCGACGTGGTCGATAGCGGTCCGGTGCCTTGCCCCATCTCTCCAGAGCAGTCTGTTGTGGAGGACAGGTTAGACTTTCCCCAAGTCCCTAAAGGAGTTGGGTCTGAGCAGGGTGAGGAGTCCCCAGGCTCTTCTCCAGAGGAACAGAGATCCGTCATCGAAATCCCTACTGCTCTAATGGAGACCGTGCCTTCTAGCGAAAGCAAATCCAAAATTCCCGTGCGAACAGCCGTCGCCACGTCGCCGCCCTGGCAGCCATGGGAAACCGAGAGCCTTTCTCCCACCGACGCCTTCCTCGACGGTTTGCAGTGGGAAGGAAAAGAGGAGCAAGCAAAACCAAAGTCGAAAATTCCCGTCAAAGCAGCTTTCCAAAAAGCTGACCCGCCGCATCCCTCCGTGGACGCATCCGTCCGCAAGCTGGAGTCCCCCAGAGCCATTGATGCGACCGGCAAGTTCCCGACGAGACCGGACGACCGCAGTAAATCCGAATCTGACGCGAGCTTTCCCGTGGACCCAAAGACTAAACGTTCCCTAAAAGCTAGGAGTTATGCTGAGGCAGAAGTGGAGAGCAGGGAAAGGGAGGTGCAGCTTGAGCTAGACTCGGACGAGGCGGCGGCGAGACCCAAGGTATTTTCGTCCCGGCTGCCAGTTAAAAGCAAAAGCGCTACAGCCGCTCGCAGCGCTTTTAGTCCCACCAAAGAAAATAAAGAACAGTTTTTTGACCTTTACAAAAACTCCCTAGAGTTCTTTGAAGAAATTAGCGACGAAGCTTCTAAATTAGTGGAGAGACTCACGCAGTCAGAGAGAGAACAAGAATTAGTTTCAGATGACGAAAGCAGTAGCGCCCTAGAAGTTTCAGTTATTGAAAATTTGCCCTCCAGTGAGACTCAGCAGTCAGTTCCCGAAGACATCTTTGACACCAGACCCATTTGGGATGAGTCCGTAGAGACTCAGATTGAACGTATCCCTGACGAAAATGTCCATGACCCCGCTGAAGGTATTTGCCAACGACTGGGATTCCCTGTGCGACGCATGTCACGACTTTAACCTCTTTGGGGTTTTTTTCGTTGTTGTTTGTTTCTTTGCAGCGCGCGCGTGTGGGCGTGTGCGTGCGTGTTTGTCTACTCGTGTAACGTCTGTGGCCTTTTCTTTTAAGCTTTCGGTGGCTGGTTGTGTATTTTTTCCCCCTCCCCTGTGAGCTGTGTTTGATTTTTGTGTAGTGTCTGTGTTTTTCTTGTCCGTGAACCAATCTCAAGATTGCCAACCGCGAATGCTTATGGGCAGTGTTACCTAAATAAACAAACCCCCTTGGAGCCGATCCCGCTCAGGTCATCCGCATTTTGGCTTTTGGCTTTCCCTGGCCCTGTTCTTAACTACATTACTAATTAATTAATTCCTTCCTCATTAATTCGTTACTCATCGTACAATATTTGGACATGGATCGAAACCGAGACAGGCCAATTGATTCTCTTTCGAGTCGTTACACCATGAAATCTGCAGAAGCTTCAACCGGTGAAGGTTTTCACGTTCCTTTCTTCGACTAGCTGGGTCTGGAGAAAATTCTGGGTCGCCGGTACCTTTGGTTACGGCTTCCCTGGCGCTTGGTTTTCCTCTCGCCTGCTTGTCGCGTGCTGCTCTCCAGCAGCTGCGGCGGAACTCCACTAGCGTGCGCCTTCAGGGAAAATCAAAACTCAAATTCTGCCATCCTCCAAGTAGCTTTGGGGATGGGAGGAGCAGTCAGTCTCACGGTTCCTGACTTAAAGGAAGACTGGCGAGCGACCGTCTGGTTTTCCCTCGCCTTCGCTGTAAGTAAGTATTTTGTTCCGCTCTCTAGCTGGCCGGGGCCAAGCCGCTTGAGCGAACGGCATCTCAAATTTTTAAATTTGATAAGTGCCACACGGCCCGTTTGACTGAAGCTTTCTGCACAACAGAAAGAACCTAACGGGGAGCACTGCTCACGATGACTTTTTCAACCTTGGTGTTTACTGAAGAGGCATGGCAAACTGCAGCTCTCCGCTTAGGTCAAGCTTTCCTTTTAACCTTAGCAGGAAGTTTTAGACCTAAAGGCTGGGCCCAGATAGGCACTTCGGTCCTTATTTAGATTGTCACCCGCAAGCCTGATTTTCAAATGGAAAAACGTCGATAGCCCTGCGCTTCTCTTTGAAAAATCACGCTTCTGTGGGTTGGTTTGTTGTTGTGGGGTTTTTTTCAACCCGGGCATTAGGTACAGTCCTCGCTTTAGCTACACAGCGATAGCGGCTCGTCCACATTTAGATCACAGCAGGTAGTTAGAAAAAGCAGCGCTTTCCTTCCTTGGGCTGTAGCACCTCCGAAAATGGGGTTTACCTTCTAAGAGGCAACTTGTGGCTTTCTTTGACCTTCAGATCGACGGGACGATCGGGAAAGGACCGAGGAGCGTCTGGCCCACATCGCCGATCATCTTGGATTCAGCTGGACGGGTAAGGAGAGGAACATTCCTCGCTTTGTTCTTGTTTCTTTCGGATTATTTCCCGGCTGCAGAAACGACAGGCAATGACCTTGGTCTCTCTCCTTAGAGTGGTACCACCACTCCTGAAAATAAGCAAAAGCTCAGGGAGTTAAAAGAAGAGGCCTGTAGCAAAGAAAAAAAAGAAAGAGTTAACTCCCCAATTGTGGCGATTGTGCTGTATGCTGGTTTTAGAAGCATTTTCAGAGTAGTTAGAAAACATGACCGATGGATTTGCTTCCTTTTCGTGACTCTGTTTTGATCCCTAGAGAAGACTGAGAGCTTCTCGCTCATCCCATCAGGGTTTATCTTGAAATCAGTAGGACTAGGAGCTGTGCGGTTTTACAGTTGAGAAGTCTGGTGAAAATAGAGAAGGCGGTGGGGCAAGACATGCCCATAAAGAGTTGTGCTGTATTCTTGTCTTGTATGGTGGGGAAAAAAAGATTCCTGATGGTCAAGATTGCCTTCCCAGATACTAAATTGGGGGATAAAAAATAGGGGTTGTTTTTTGGTCCAAGCGAGTTTAACCCCTAGAATTGAATTTCATGCCTAGTTCCTGTATAGTTCCTGTATAAACAAAAAATGGTTTTATATTTGTTGTGAGCTTAGCGTTTAACAGTGCCTTTAAATATATAACATGAGGTACACAGAAGCCAAGAGACTTCAGCCTCGGGAAAGTTTGTGATCCCCTTTGCTACCGGCAACAGCAAAACTGAGGTAAGGCGGAGAAAAGAACCAAGACTCCTAACAGAGAGAGTTTTCTTTTTCAGAGCTTGCAAGAGAACTGGATTTCACGGAAGAACAAATTCACCAGATCCGAATTGAAAATCCTAACTCGCTTCAGGACCAGAGCCACGCGCTGCTCAAGTACTGGCTGGAGAGGGACGGGAAGCACGCGACAGGTTTGTTTCTGGTTACAGTACGTAAGAGTCGTTTCCAGTGTGGTACTTAAGGGGATAGAAATGTGTTTGGTGTGATCCCAGAGAGAACATATGTGTTAAATCAAGACTTTAGAAAGAACGACTGTGGATTGTGTTGATTTTTGAAGCTTCTGTCAGATTCTCATAGAAAATAGTTCGGTTGTGCTTGTTTCAGGGCAAGACAGAGTATCTTACAGCAAATAAGGAGCGGAGAAACATCAAGGCCTCTGTTTTCTTCCTGAGCATGTTTGGGGAAACTTAGTAAACCAGTTGGTGCTAGGAAAAAAGCACGAGGAACGCACGGTCATTTCTATAAGCAGCTCTTTATTTTAGATTTTAATTTTTGATTGTACAGAGCAGTGCTTTTAAAGGCATCTGTATTTCAGATACGATCTTTCAGTGTCCTGTCTATGTCCTTCTCGTGGAAAGCAGAGGGGAGAGAGCAGGTGAAATTCTTAACAGCAGACGGCTCAACTGACGTGAGATTGTTCTCATTCCGCAGATACCAGTCTGACCCAGTGTCTCACAAAAATCAACCGGATGGATATCGTTCACCTCATGGAGGCCAGCGGCATCGACTCCTCGCCGGGCCAAGGGGCGCGCACGTACGCGGAAATCGAACAAACCATCGGATTGGACCATAGTGAAGGTAAAACGGTTCTCCCTTCGTGTGCTGCATTCTGTTCTGAAATGTTTAGCTAAGACGGTCTGTTATTTCGTGGAACTGAGCACTAGAATCTCATTTTGAAGAACATGGATCTTTACTGAAAGGAGGGTGAGGCAGTGGAACGGGCTGCCCAGGGTAGTGGTGGAGTCACCGTCTCTGGAGGCGTTCAGCAAACATGGAGATGTGGCACTTTGGGACATGATTCAGTGGTCACAGTAGTATTGGGTCGACCGTTGGACTAGATGATCTTAGGGGTCTTTTCCAGCCTCAGTGATTCTGTGAGTCTGTGGATGAATGCCAGAGTGACTGCACGTGAGTTGCTATTTCCGCAGGCGCACGAGCTGTGCACAAACTGCTTCCTACAGAGCAAAGAGAGAAATGTTGTGAGAAAGAAGTGAAAATACTTGTGCCTGGATTGTCGGGGTTTGGTTTTTTTGCTTGTACAAGTAGTTGCAGAGAGGTTAAGATCCTCACTTTGCGATTGGACCAAGATTTGTAAAAGGAGTATTAGTCTGTGCTTTACAAAAAACACTGCTTGTCCGCTCTAGAGGATGTTGTAGTTCTGCCACGAAGGACTTAGTGAGAATAACAAGCTCATTATTTCACCTTGTCCTGCATAAATGTACTTATTCTTTTCCTAAGCAGCAAAATCACTGACAGGGAGGGGGGAAAGGGCTGTAGAATTTAACTACTTTGCTGACAAAATCCTGCCTTTGTGAATCTGTTTGCATGCATGGAATGAGTGACACCATAAATTCCCGTGTCATTCATATTTTGCCTGTCACTGTATTGCTCAAAGGTATCTACCAAAATTTTCGGGTAGGATGTTCTGGGCTGAGAAGCAAAATGCACACAGAGAAGGAGGTGGAGTTCCTGCAGTTGCGTGAGCCTAGTAAGGACCCTTTTCCGTTCTGTATTTATTGCAGGGTTTTCAGCACTGCCAGCAGAACTGTACAGTTCCAGACACGCGGCAGAGGAACACCACCAGCACCAGCGACTCACGAAAGACAGCGAGTCGACGGAGCATCCGCCCATCGTCTCCGAGGAGGACGTCTCCGTCAGTTTTTCTCCTTTCCCGGACAGCACTCCTAGGAGCGAGGCGGAAGCGTCAATGGCCGAGCTCCTGCGACAGGCGCACAGGGAGCAGGTGGGAGGTGACATCTCAGGGAAACACGGCGAAGACGTGGCACCGTCAGACTGGCAACACAAATACAGGTTAGTGGTAAAGGATTCACGGGTTGGCGTCAGGCAGGAGCGGCAGGTGAGGCGAGAGGCGCAGTCTAGAAACAGGAACAGGCACGTCAGAGACAGAGAGGTAGAGGGGGG